GGATTTTGAGAATTGTCTATTTTTCCTCCTACTCCCACTAATGTTGATGACGAGGCACATGCGTGCTTTGTCAATTGGTAGGTAAAATTCCACCACAAAAGAAAATGGTACCACAAATATAATTGTTCATATACCTCAAAAATATTTACCCATTTAATTTTAGAAAAGCTAGTTTTATTTAATACTATATTTCTATCTTTCTTCATCTGCAGAAAGTTCCATTCTCTATAGTTTTTCTTTTACCATTGTGAATGATTACTTGGTAAGTAACATAGTCTTGATGAGAAGGATATGCGCCACGCAAATGATTGCCAAAACAATCATGCACAAACACTCGTGGATCGTTTGCATGATTTCTGGGTTCCTTTTATTCTATCTTATCTTTTACTTAAGAATTTTTTAATTTTGGCTTAAAAATGTTCAAATTATCATCTCTTTTGGTCTTCGGATTCATGGTTGTGACCCCACAGTGTTCGTTATGTCTGCCACTGTCCTTCTATAACACTCCTCACTCCTCATTCGCAGCAAAATTATTAATATTCAAATGTCTTCTCAGAAGAAACCTATCTCCCAAGTAGAGTATTTGTTTCTAAAATACGTTTTTTCTTTTTGGGTCAAAAATTTGGATGGTGTGAAATAGGGGGTGGGGCTGTGGAAGTGGACTTACGTTCAGGGCAAACTGCTTTATTCGTATTATTGTTGGAGCCATGTGCACCTATCAACTCACAACTTTCCTTTTTTCCTCTTTCTCTCTATCCTTTTTCACACTCTAAAGAACCAATTCAAACAAGGGAAAACCGACTCTAAACTTTGCATCACAAATCTTCAGTTTGTATAAAGCAAGTTCAAATACATCTTATAGGAGAAAAGTTTCTTAACTTTAACTGTTGCATTGACTTTGTTTAAAAACAATAAAGTCACGTTAGTACTTGAATGCTTTTTTCTCTGTTTTTCTTATATTTGCAGACATTTTCATTTATGAAGTAATATTCAGAAATATAATAATCAACTGAAAATAGTAGAAGTTTGGGTTTCGTTGAAAGTTGAATTGAATAATGAAGGTGGGAGAGTTTGCTGAGGGTGATCTCATATGTAATAGAATGCAGAGCAGTAATTAGTGCAGCTCTCTGCAGAATTAAATGAAGTCAAAGGAGAGTAATGAGATGAAACAATGATGATATGAAAATGGTGTGGGCTACCACAGGATAATCAATCATCCCAACTACAATACACAATTGTACTTTTCATTCTTTATCAACTGCTTTTATTGCAGGTACCTAAACTACCAACATTATTTCCATTCTACCACTACTCATATCATTTCCACCACATTTTCTTCTTTCTTCTTTTAACAACATTAATGGATAAATTTTATGATGTTATACTAAACTATTTTCACATACATTTTTTAAGACTTTATATTCAAAACAATTTAAATACATATTATTTCTTTTAATTGTTTCAGACACGCCGTCTATTAAAATGAAATCGAATTCTAACATAGACGCAACTATCATCTATTGTTCTATCATTTTTTTAGTAATTTATTCAATAATATTAAATATTATGTAATATTGTATGTTGGGTTTGCTCCTCAATGTTATGTTACTTATAATTGTTATGATTTTTAATTATCATAGTTATGGGATTCGTTTATGTTGAATTTGTTAACAGAGCATAAATGGAAAGGTGCACTGCAAATGTTAATTATAATGCATTATAAATTACCAAAAGAAAAGTACTCAGAATCAAAATATTTATTTCATTTTCCGCCAAAAGATAACTTCATATTCCAATTATTAATATTTAAATAATGAGAAAGTCACGTCAACATAATATTTAAATAATAAAGTAAATATAATTTGAATTAAATACTTTTTTTTCTAAATTATTATAAAAAAAATGTATTTTGTTTCTAAAATACGTTATAATATAAACCCATAACCCACTTAATTAGATAATTATTAATTAAAGAAATAACTTTCTGAAACAACCCTAAACCCTAAATTGTCCCTATAATGTTTTTATTCTTTTAAATAAGCAAATGATATTTTACGCTTTCTATTTCTTCTCTCCCTTTCTTAGTCAATCACTAGCTATTAAACAATGTTATTTATTTTCTCAATTTGGAAAATCTCTTAACTTTTTTTTCTTACTATTCTGTGTATTTACTCTTGTTCAGCTATTATTCGGAAATTCGTTCCCATTAATTTTCATGCAATTTACATCTTTGACAAAAAAAAAAAACTCAGCTCTATATTAATAGTATGAAATATCGACACAACACGACAATGATTTGGATGGAATTGAATCTAATTTTTTCAAGCAATGTCTCATATTTAATTTTTTTAGATAAAAAAATAGGAAAACCACTAAAATTATCGGGATAAATATTTTACACCGATAATGTTTATTTACTTTCCCTTCGTATTGTCATTTGGTGCATCTCTTCTCTTGCTCAATGATTTGTTACAAATTCTTTGGTACTCTTGCAATCAAACTTTAGTACGAACTAGAACAATTCTATCAGTAGCATAGCAATGACTAATAGGACATAAATAATTTTTTCATTTACCATAGCATAATATAAAACTTTACAGAAAAAAATTAAATTAAGTTGAGTATAATTAATGAATTAAATATTTTAGCGATAATAAGCACATGGGTGTGTATCAGCGTATATCTGGTCTTAACTTTCCGTGAGTCTTTCAAAATGATCTCTTCTAACTTTGAATAGTGAAGACCATGTTAATCTCAAAAATTCCTTTAGCAATGAAATTCCCAGTTCAGATCTTTCTACACATAAACAAAAGGAGTGAGATCTTTGAACAACATTGAATCTCAAAAGAAACATAAGACAAATAAAAACCAGTGAAAGGAACAGATAACATCAAAGTTAAAAATAGAGGAGAATATAGTGGGTGATATGATATTATATTCGACAACACAAATAGGTCCAACCAAACAGAAAACCTTTGTACAAAAAGTGCAACACCCTCCACTGCTTAATCTTCTTTTCACAGATTTTGGGGTAAAGTTGTTTGTCATTTTGGTACCGAATTAGCTTTGCTGTCTTTCAAGTTTCAACTTTCGATTTTTTATTTACCTTCGATTTTCATTATTTGTTCCTTCTTCGACACAAACAATTTGAATTTCAAAGCCATGTCGAGGTGCTTTAGTTTTAGTGTGAAATATTATATTGGATTTTTCTTTCCCCCAGTACTAAACTTGGGAATGATTTATCATACAATAGTTTGTATTCAGTGTCAAGATTCCAAATTTCAGTTCCTCAATCATAGAGTAATAATGCATCAACGTTTGTTTTTTTCTCCTTAGGATCCTTCGAAACCATGTATTCTTTAGAGGTTCCATATCCCTTTTGTGTTGGATCGACTAAAAAAGTATCATGTAAATGTAGAACATAATAAGAATGATATATTTATTTATGATAGTCAACAAACACTCTAATGTATATCTCTCGCACCGCTCTCTCTTTCATGCTTTCCGTAAATTGACAGTATTTATGTTTGTGGTTCTTAAAGCAGTTAAATTTGACTTGAAGCCGAACAATTAATCACGAAATAAGCTTGTTTAAAAAGGGGAATTTGTGTGGAGTGGAATAGTATTAATGATCAAAGTTGGATGTAATTTACGAAGGCATGATTGGTAGAGTGGAGCCGTTTTTGTGTGAGTTGTGGCCCAAATGTTGCACTCCATTGAATGCCATCACATCTCATCATGATGGTGGTAGCAAGCAAAATCAATCTGTCTGCATGCAATGTCGTTTTAAAATTTGGTTTGATTTCAGGATCAAAAGGTTATTTAAGCGAGCAACCTTGTCGTTTGATTTAGTCTAATATTATAGATCCTGATTCCACAACCAACCCAACTGAACAGAGAGTGGAATTTTGTCCTGGTTTTTCCCTTTAGGAAATGGCAGGGGGCAGGTTGGCCCCAATTTTTTTTAATTTCACATGGCTCTTTCTTTTCTCTCAGTTATGACGCACCAACCAGGGACTCTCTAATTCAAACCATGTCAAACCTCTCCTCAGCTAGGTATGGTAGATGGCTTGGCCATCCCAGGAAAAGGGTTTGCCCACTTACCCAAAACATCAATGTATATCTGTTACAACTATATAACAGTGTCAACTACCACAAATGCACCCTCACTCTAATCGTAACAAACCAATCTTTTCTAACGTGTGTCACGTGCATACCTTACTCGGGCCATTTCCGAAATCCCAAAGTAAAACGTCCATGCTAGAATTCCCTATACGACCATCCTCACCTTATGCATGCAATGCATTGCAACCATACTTCAAATCATGGTCCACACTCCACAACCAGTTATTGTGGGTTCACGCTAAGTTGCACAACTGTTACTCCATTGCTAAGTTATCACTTTCCAAACCTGCAAGCGTTTCTTTTCGTAAATTACAGCTGGTAGCACGTCGTAGAACTTCCAAGGAACTATCATATTACTAAAACTCAATTGTATAAAGACAGTATGGAGTAGTTTGGAGTCTGCACACTTTTTAATGGGTATATATCAGAAATTAAGACTCGGTTTTTTATTTTAAGTAACACCGTAATAAGATCACAATTTTTACTTAGTAAATTGTAATAATTCTTTCCCATATAAAAATCTCATTGTGTATGTACTCTATTTCTTAAATACAGAAGGCTTATAGAAAGCAATTCTCTACTAAATATAAGTTTATATTTTATTTGTGTCATAAATAGATACTGTCCATAAAGTTTTTTGTGTGACTCTAAATTTTGAAAGCTTATTTGGTTATTTTGTCAGTATCATTTCATAAATACTGTTTTGAAACATGTACACATTTCTTTCTTTAATATCAAGTGTCACTGCATGTCTCTTTCACCCTCCTGTCAGTGGTACCCCATAAAAGAACAAGACTTTCTCACGATGCTTACACTGTTCCCCGGTGCAGGATCAGAACAGCAAAAGGCCGTACCATAAAACAACAAGTGCTACATGATGAAGACAGAGAATTTATATAACAAAATACTCCCACCGATCCTAATGTACAAATTGCAAACCATTACTGTAAAGAAATATTCAAACATTTAACACCTTAGCAGAAACCCAACCCCAAAAAGAAGAAAAAAACTGAAGAACGCAACTAGATAAGCTATCACAACCCAAAAGAGAAAAATATGAAACACATCCCATTCCAAACATATATCCCTTCAAATGCTAAGAAGATCGGGTGGTGGAGACTGAGGAGGGCGTTGATTATCTTTAGATTCCTTAGATACCGTGGTTGGAGACTCTAAAATGTTTGATGAAGACAGAGAGGACTCCGTCAAGTCCCCCTGTTTAGAGCTCGGTGGCTTTGGAAGCTCGGTGAGAATTTGAACAACTTCTCGCATAGTAGGTCGCTCCACTGCCTGTTCTTCAACACATAGCATGGCTACATAGAAAACATGCATCACCTCATGGAGAGGAACTGATGGAAGTCTAGGATCAAGAACCTTTAGAACTCCTTCCTTGTTTGAATCCGTCATTTTCCTCACCCAATGCACAATGTCCACACCATCACCAAACTCCCCAACTGGTTTCCTGCCTGTTACAAGCTCCAAAAGAACAACTCCAAAGCTGTAAACATCGCTTTTCTCATCAACTTTTAACGTGTAGGCATACTCTGCAGTCAAAATCACAAACCTAAATCAGTGACCATGAACAAAAAAAGCAGCCACATTAATTGAAAACAATTAACAAAAAATGAATGCTAAGGCCATGCGAATGTGTTATATATTTAGTTTGACGTACATGTTGCCAGTTAATCACCATCCGTTTTCAATTGTGAAAATCTTTAATCTATGATTAATCTATGACTGCAGGACTTCCTAATTATAGGGTGGGGGCTACGATGAAGACTCAAACGACACACTCGGCTAATGTTTGCTTTAAACAGTAACAATATTTTGAAGCAACATAAATCAGAGGACAAATGAAAGCGGTCGTTATTAGTGTGCGACGAAAACGAAAACGAGTCAAGGAAGGCAACATATAGCGTTTATTAATTAATTAGGCACATAAAACGTCTAAAACAAACAGCAGTGTTGATACAGTTCGGTTCTGCCCCTAAGTCAATGATGTTGAGGGACATGAGACAAACTCCGACCGTTAAGGACTCCATATAGAAAAAAAGGCTGTTAGTCACGCTAGTTCAACGTATAAATCATCAATTATGTTGAATTTCAGAATATTACCTGGAGCTATGTATCCATACGAACCGGCAATTGCAGACATGCATTCAGATGTTCCAGAATCTTGCAGGAACTTAGCGAGCCCAAAGTCCGCAACATGAGCTTCAAAGTTAGAATCAAGAAGGATGTTGTTGGATTTAACATCTCGATGGACAATGAGTGGCGAACAGTCATGATGTAGATAGCACAGGCCCTTCGCGGCCTCCACAGCAATCTTATACCTTGTGTCCCAATGCAAATGACCACCTTTCTTGCCATGAAGAACCTCACCCAAACTTCCATTAGGCATATACTCATACACAAAGAGATTTGTCTCGTGGTTTGAACAGAAACCCAACAGTCTAACAATGTGTCTGTGTCGAATCCTCCCCAATGTCTGAATCTCAGCATTGAAACCATGATCATGCGAAGATCCCCTGCTCATGGCAGGTAACCTTTTCACAGCAACCTGATCCCCATTCGGCATTGCACCTTTGTACACAATGCCTGCACCTCCTTTTCCTATTATGTTGTCCTCCTTCAAGCAGTCCAGAACATCATCAGCAGTGAAGTCCAAACGCTGGAACGCAGTTAATTTCCACGCACGAGCTTCACTAGCCTTTTTCAAAGCCCGAGCTTTGATTATTGCCGCAACAGCAAATGCGATGGAGCACACAAGCAACCCTATAACTAACAGAAGCTTCAACGAAGAAGAGAGAGGACCTTTAACATGAGGTTGACGAGGGCCATTGGCAACCCCGTCTTTACAAGGACCCAAATAAGGACCACAGAGTTCAGTGTTCCCTAGGAAAGAGGTGTAGTTAAAGTAGCCGAACTGCCAGGTTCCAGGAACCAAACCAGAGAGATTGTTGTAGGAAAAATCAACAGATGTTAAACTTTGCATAGAAGCTATGGAGCCTGGAATTGAGCCAACTAAATGGTTTCTTGAAAGGTTCAGATAATTCAATATCCGCATTGCAGTTATCTGATTTGGAATCTCACCAGAGAGCTCATTGCGGCTGAGGTCAATGAAAGTCAAAAGCTTGCACCTGCTTAACTCGGGAGCAATGGGGCCCGAAAACTGATTATGGCTAAAATCAATCTTGGAGAGCTGCTGCAGCCTGCCTATCTGCGAAGGGATTTGACCCGAAAACTTGTTACCGTCGAGAAGAAGCTTCTGCATGCTGGTGAAGTTTCCGATGGTGGGTGGCAACGGCCCAGAGAGCTTGTTATTAGAGAGACTGATCTGACCGAGATTAACAGCAACGGAACCACCCTCAGGAAACTGTCCAGTGAGAAGATTGTTCTGAAGCTCTACTTGGGTGAGTTTGGGAAGCCCAAATAGACCAACAGGAATAGAACCATTAAGAAAGTTCTCACCCATTCGAATCCTATTCAGAGACTCGCACTTCCCAAGCGAATCCGGAATGGGACCGAGCAGATAATTCCCGAGAGTTATCAGAGTCTGAAGACGATTCCCGTAGCACATATCAGGAGGAAGCATTCCCGTCAACTTGTTCGAAGAAAGATCAACGAGAGTGAGTTTTCCATTTCTTCCCAGACTCTGAGGAATGCTTCCCGTGAAGTTGTTTTCCCATAGCTGCAAAACCTCCAGCGCCGGTAGCTCTCCGACAAATTCTGGAATCGCACCGTGGAGCTTGTTCCGGAAGAGGTTCAGCAAAGTGAGATTCTTGAGCTCCGCAAAGCTGGCCGGAACCTCGCCGGAGAGAACGTTGTTGGACAGATCCATCGACTTGAGACTCTTCAGGTTCCCCAGCTCAGGAGTGAGCGAGCCGGAGAGCGCATTCACCTGAAGAAAGAGCGTGTCCATATTCTGAAGCCTTCCGAGGTCAGCCGGAATATCGCCGGAGAGTCCGCAATACGCGGCATCGAAACGGACAAGCTGGGACAGGTTTCCAATTTCCGGCGGGATGCCGCCGGAGTAAGCGTTGTAGTAGCCAATGTAGAGCTCGCGAAGCGCGGTGAGGTTTCCAAGCTCCGGAGGGATGTTTCCCGTGAGCTCGTTGCCGGAGACGGCGAGGTACTGGAGGTGCTGCCAGGTGCCATACTCGGGAGGGATCTGGCCGGCGAAAAAGTTGCCGCCGAGGTGGAGGTGGCGGAGGAGGGGCATGGCGGCGACGGCGAGGGGGAGGGGACCGGTCATATTGTTGTTGTAGAGGTCAAGGACTTGGAGATTGGCGAGGCGGGCGAGGTTGGAGGGGAAGGTGGCGTTGAAGGCGTTGTTGGAGAGGTTGAGATGGCGGAGGGCGGAGAGTGCGGAGAAGGAGGAGGGGATTGGGCCGGAGAACTGGTTGTCGGCGAGGGAGAGGTAGGAGAGGAAAGGGAGGTGGGAGAGGTCATCGTAGAGTGTGCCGGAGAGGGACAAGGAGGTGAGGTTAAGGATGGTGACGTGGCGGCGGGAGTCGCACGTGACACCGAACCAGGAACAGTAGGGAGTGGTGGTGTTCCAGGAGGAGAGAGCATTGGTAGGGTCGTCGGTTATGGAAGACGCTTTAAAAGAGATAAGCGCGCGATATTCTGAGATGCGCGCAGCATGGAGTGTGTGAGAATGGAAGAGGAAGAAGAAGAGAGAACAAAGGAAGAGTCGCATTTTGTGTTGGTATGGAGAAATGGAGAAATGGAAAGGAAAACGAAAACGAAAATGAGAGGGAAGTGAGTTAAAGGGTGAGTGAGTGAGTGTACATGTTGTATTGTGTGTTTGTTTGTGTGACTGCTACTGATCACTGACCCCTTAGCAGAGTGAGTGGATGAGGACTGAGCCAATGTTCAGCCATGTTCAGCAGACCCTCCCACATCTTTTATCCCCTTCACCACTCACACATACTTACAATCTTAACATTCTTCCTTTCCCTTTCTTTTTTCTTTTTTCACCCTTGCAAATCATACCATACCTTCACATTTCCAACGATTGAAACAGTGTATACTGTAACAACAAATCATTAGCTAAAAAATTCCAGAAAAGCTCTCCGTAGAATACCTATAGTATGTCTACTGCATGTTTTGAGGTTTGTGTTAGGTAACTCATTTATGAATTGTTCTGTTGTTGTACCATTACACAAATTTTAGTTTGTCCTTTCTAATTCTATCACTGTCCTTAATGCTCACGCATTTATACATTTGTCACTTTATCTTTATATTATTTTATTTGACTAATTACGGTTAGTGTAGTCTTCTTTTCTAGAATTTTTATCATCTCATCGTGGACAGAAGTACGTGAAGAAAACAAAATATATTATCGGCATTTTCTGAAGTGTCACAACATTCAAGTTTCTTTCAACAAATTTGGTCCCTTCTCGTGCCCAACCTTTCGTCTATGGTTTCTTTTGCATGACACAACTAATCTAATTTGGTAATGACGAATGCACATTAGTTTCATATTGGTAATGAGTAACGCGGTGTCATGTTAGTGCTATACAATTTCTAAAATATTGGTTTCGTTTTGAAACTTAAAACTTAGAATAAGTGTTTTTAAAATAAAGATTTTTCAAAATAATTACTTCTTTAAGGAATAAATAGAATTTTGTATTAAAAATATTTAAAAAACTGTTTTATTTTTAAAATGAAAATAACATATATGATGCTTAAAATATCATATATACATAAAAATCTGCATTCTGTTTATATTATATATATATATATCATTAATCTATATATATATATATATATATATATATATATATCATTTGAAAAAGGTTTATTCACTTTTACTAACAAAATATTTAGAAGATATTTTGAAATATATTTGTTGGTATAAAAATTCATGTATTAATCGTATAAGTAACTGAATCTAGGTAGTTTGATTATGTCATGATATTCTTTGATGACATATTCTTACAAAATATTTTGTATATCAAGTAAGGTATCAAATTATTACTATTATTTTTTTTTTGCTAATTATCGTAGAGGTGTCAAAATGTGTCAAATCTGGCCCACCACGGATTCAGGCCAGGTTGAATTTAAAAAAATTGTAATTTTTTTTATGTGGGTCAGATTTCAACACGTCTCATTTAAACTCATTTCATGCGGGACCTACCAACCTACCTACCTAATTTTATTTTATTAAAATTTAATTTGAATTTTATAAAAAAATATTTATTATTATTTTTTGCTTGAAAAAATTATTTAAGTTTCTTATTTTCAAAATTAATTAAACACTCACGTTGAGAGTGAAATTTGTTTAAATTTGAATTATAGAAAGTTTGTAATTTTTTTATTTAAAAGAAATTGTAATTAAGTGAGCAAGTGAGCCAACCCGTGGTGGGTCGGGACGGGTTCAAATTTTTCAGCCTCGCTAATAAATGAGTTGGGTTGGGTTGGCTCACTAAGTGACCAACCAGTAGTGGGTCGGGCGACCCTTTTTGACAGCTCTAGAATAAGTTATTATATTTGTTAATACTATTTTATATTCCTTCTATACTATCTATTTTTACCACATGAACCATAGGGTCTAGAAATCTTATAAATACACATGGTATTTCAAAGAAAATACACTCTCTTTCATATACTCATTATCTCTTACTCAAAAAACTCAACTTTCTTACTAACTTAAGTGTGAGAAAGTCTTTTATAGTTGAATCTTCACCCTGTGTTCAAGCCCTTAGGAGCATGCATTAGGATTTCTCAATTCCACTCATATCTTGCGACTTGCCTCAAGATCCACACTTTGAATACCGGTAAAAACATTTAACGTCCATCATACGGTTCGATAAAACTTTTCCAGACCTTTTCATGGTCACCATTCATAGTCAAGCTCAATTATCACACGAGATGGAATCTAACACTTCAAAGTCAAATCCAAATGTTGCTCTAACAAAATGAGCAACAACGCAAACATTGAGACGAGGAGCTCACAACCCTACGCACCCAACACCAGATGGATCACTAAGCACTGAATGAGAAGCTAACCGACGAGAAGCCTCTTCCACGTTCTGTCCTCAACAAAGGACCATCGAGCCAGTAGTGCAGACGTGGCAATCGTCAACAAGCAAAGGATCTCCCTCGCAAAAGTGTTGTGATATGAGTAAGATTTTTGTACACTAGAGAAGTCATCAATAGGAGGGCCCACAAAACTCTTAGGCAGAGCATAGCTCATCAATAGGAGGGCCTGGAAAGGTCATTCTTAGTTCTCTTAGCATAAATCTAGGAAGGATCTGACGGTTCAGGAGGTGTGACGTTTCGGTGACGGAAGGATCTGACAGTTTGGGGCGGGAAGGCGTTTTGATTTTTCACATTTCCCGCCTAAATGTTACAGGCGAGACGTCTCAATTCCCACCTGAAAACAGGGCCAAATTTTGCTGAGTGGCAGGGAAGGCCGAGCAGAGGTCACTTCAAAACCCTACGCAAAAGTACTTTTGCTAGGGCTTGGGGGGCTTGTGTTACTACCGTCGGTAGGCAACCGACCGTGGCTTGTGGTATTACCGAGAGTAAGTGACCGACCACAGAGTGTGTCATTATCGAGGGTAGACAGCAAACTGTAGATTGAGTTGTTACCGAAGGAAGGCGACCGGTCGGGTGTTTCATAAAACAACCGATCGGGTGAGCGCAAGTAAAGGAGAGGGCAGACAGCCGTTAAATGTTCATGAATGCGTGGTTAATGAGGTAACGGCCCTTGTCGAGCATTTAAAGTGAGTATTGAAAGTCATTAAAAGGTAAATTAATGAATAATATTCCTCGTAATTGTATAAATAGAAGTCAAAGGGGAAGGTAAACTCTCTGTTCAATTTGATAATTATAGACTTGCGAGAGCCCATTCTGACTTGAGCGTCGGAGTGTTTGCTGCAGGTCAACCCATCCATACTGATACCGAGCGCAGAGAAGGACAGGAGAGGAAGACCGATCAGAGGAGGAGTAGTGTTTCCGGACGGAGGTAGCAGGAGTGTTCCCCGGTTCCGTTCAACAGAAACAGTAATGGCTATAAAATTTAAAATAAATAATTCCAAATCCATTCAGAAATCATAGCTAATAGGTATCCTGTATTAGGTTTTATTTTTCTCTTTCTTTATTAATTTATATTGAATCTATAAATTTGAAAAATAATTCAATTATTGCACCTTTGTGTTGTTTTTTCAAATTTTATTTTTCTCCCTTTTGCATGAGAAGAGACAAAGAAGGTAATTGTGTCAGTGCGGGTTAGATAGGTTGCACAGATAAGGCTGTCCGTTGAAAGTTGGTAGCCTACGGTGTCTTTACTTTAGAAGATATTGTAAAATCCAAAAATAGGTAAAAACCCAAAACTGAGGACATTTTCTAATTTTCCTTCTACTTTTAATTCACAAAACTTCCTCTGCGTTGGCATGCCATGAGTAGTTCTGCATACAGAATTTTGATTCAACAAATTCACAGTGTCATTTAAGTGGATAAAATATATATTTTTTTTTATTATGTATTGAGCTTGAGTGAGAATCGGTTTTAATTATGAAAAAACCTATTTCCATTGAGTTTTGTGTGTGTATATATATAATAAATAATAATAATGATATCATTAAATAATAATAATAAAAATGATAATAATATTAATAATAAAAAGTAAATAATAATAACTATAAAGAGTAAAAGAAAAATTATATTTTATCTATTAAAATATTTTTTATTTAATTACATTCATCAAATCTTTCACAAAGTTTATTCTAAATTCACTTACTTTCATTTCCAGATTCCTTAAAAAAAGACAAAAAAAATTTATCCTCAAATTTATTTAAAAAAAGACAAATTCTATCCTCAAATTCATTTAAAAAAACATGGTTAACAGCTGCAAACAACCGTGACCTTAAAACGCGACACAATGAAGTTGCAGTCTCATTACAATGTCGCTTCTGTGAGATAGCGGGCACCACAAAATATGTTGCCTACCCAGATACATCTTTTGAATAACATTTTGGAAAAATAAATTTATTCAAAACAATAAAATTACAGTAGTTTTTTATTTTATAAAGCATGCACCCACTACAAACATTATACCAGGTCAATTGTTTTCCCCCCTTTTTACGGTGAAAATTTTAAGAATTGAAATTATTAAATTGTTTGGTTTTGTAACGAGGATTTGAGTTTCTTACGTTTTGGTGATATATTCCAGTCAATAAAAATGCTATTTTTAACTCAATACAAGTAATAAATACAAGGGTTAAATATGTTTTTAGTCCCTAAACTATTGGTTCGTTTCTGGTTTTCGTCCTCCTTTTAAAGTAAGGTACAATTTGGTCCTCATTCTTTTCGAAACGTTCGTTTTAGTCCTTGTAATTTTGGTTTTAGTCCTCATTTTTTTTTTAATTTTGTTCTAATTTTTTAATTGTTTTTAGTTTTCTAGGACTAAAACGAACGTTTTCGAAAAGAATGAGGACCAAATTATACCTTACTTTGAAAGAGGGACGAAAATCAGAAACGACCAATAGTTTAGGGACTAAAAACATATTTAACCCTAAATACAAATGATATTTTGGCAAAAGTTCTATCTGTATGAAGAGAACGGTAAGTGAAAAGTGAACAAACATCTAAAAACTAAAAGAAGTAAAAAAAAAAAAAAAAACTCCTTCACACAGGATCTCCTACCAAAAAATGGCTTTACATGTACCATAAATTTTGATAATTGGAACCAATATATGCATAAATGTTGTGACTGGAAGATGCCACCCTAAATAACCACACCCCATCCTACCCATTTATTAGAACCAAATCCAGTCACATTAACAACGATGGCTTCCATTCACTACATGAAAATGAAAAATAGCCATGTAAACAATTACTGAGACGAAACAAATACTATTGCTAACAAGATCTCCCATCAATAAAGGGAGGGAAAATTGAAACAATACAAATAATTGAGGAATAGGTACTACTCCTAGGGATAACAAAACATGAAATTGGAAGACATACCCTATACGAATTCCTTATTGCGGATTTGCAAATATGGGTATGCCCAGAAAAGTAAAAATTTAAAGTTTGTTTTAATAATACAAACAGAATATACTCGATCATGCACTGGAGATAGCGAAAAGATAGACAACAAAATACAGTGACAATAATAATAACTGCAGTCTGCAGATGTGAAGAAACAAAGGCTCACAAGAGGTTTCTTTTGTTTAGGTGGTCATTTGATAGATTATAAAGGGCTAAACCGGTGCAACTGACAATGCCTAGATATGTAATGTTCTACCATTTGGCCGTCTCGTCTGAAAAAAAAACGAGAAGAACAACTGTTCCAGTTCTACATGATGAAGACAGAACTTATATAACAATACTCCCACCAATCCTAATGTACAAATTGCAAGCCATTACTGTAAAGAAATATTCAAACATTTAACACCTTAGCAGAAACCCAACCCCAAAAAGAAGAAAAAAACTGAAGAACGCAACTAGATAAGCTATCACAACCCAAAAGAGAAAAATATGAAACACATCCCATTCCAAACATATATCCCTTCAAATGCTAAGAAGATCGGGTGGTGGAGACTGAGGAGGGCGTTGATTATCTTTAGATTCCTTAGATGCCGTGGTTGGAGACTCTAAACTGTTTGATGAAGACAGAGAGGACTCCGTCAAGTCCCCCTGTTTAGAGCTCGGTGGCTTTGGAAGCTCGGTGAGAATTTGAACAACTTCTCGCATAGTAGGTCGCTCCACTGCCTGTTCTTCAACACATAGCATGGCTACATAGAAAACATGCATCACCTCATGGAGAGGAACTGATGGAAGTCTAGGATCAAGAACCTTTAGAACTCCTTCCTTGTTTGAATCCGTCATTTTCCTCACCCATTGCACAATGTCCACACCATCACCAAACTCCCCAACTGGTTTCCTGCCTGTTACAAGCTCCAAAAGAACAACTCCAAAGCTGTACACATCGCTTTTCTCATCAACTTTTAACGTGTAGGCATACTCTGCAGTCAAAATCACAAACCTAAATCAGTGACCATGAACAAAAAAAGCAGCCACATTAATTGAAAACAATTAACATAAAGTGAAACCTGAGACCATGCGAATTTGTTATCTATTTACTTTGATGTACATGTTGCCAGTTAATCACCATCTGTTTTCAATTGTGAACATCTCTAATCTATGACTACAGGACTTCCTAATTATAGGATGGGGGCTACGACGAAGACTCAAACGACAACTCGGCTAATGTTTGCTTTAAACAGTAACAGTATTTTGATACAACATAAAACAGATGACAAATGAAAGCGGTCGTTGTTAGTGTGCGACGAAAACGAAAACGAGTCAAGGATGGCAACATATTGCGTTTATTAATTAATTAGGCACATAAAACGTCTAAACCAAACAACAGTGTTGATACAGTTCGGTTCTGCCCCTAAGTCAATGATGTTGAGGGACATGAGACAAGCTCCGACCGTTAATGACTCCATATATAAGTAAAGGCTGTTAGTCACGCTAGTTCAACGTATAAATCATCAATTATGTTGAATTTCAGAATATTACCTGGAGCTATGTATCCATACGAACCGGCAATTGCAGACATGCATTCAGATGTTCCAGAATCTTGCAGGAACTTAGCGAGCCCAAAGTCCGCAACATGAGCTTCAAAGTTAGAATCAAGAAGGATGTTGTTGGATTTAACATCTCGATGGACAATGAGTGGCGAACAGTCATGATGTAGATAGCACAGGCCCTTCGCGGCCTCCACAGCAATCTTATACCTTGTGTCCCAATGCAAATGACCACCTTTCTTGCCATGAAGAACCTCACCCAAACTTCCATTAGGCATATACTCATACACCAAGAGATTTGTCTCGTGGTTTGAACAGAAACCCAACAGTCTAACAATGTGTCTGTGTCGAATCCTCCCCAATGTCTGAATCTCAGCATTGAAACCATGATCATGCGAAGATCCCCTGCTCATGGCAGGTAACCTTTTCACAGCAACCTGATCCCCATTCGGCATTGCACCTTTGTACACAATGCCTGCACCTCCTTTTCCTATTATGTTGTCCTCCTTCAAGCAGTCCAGAACATCATCAGCAGTGAAGTCCAAACGCTGGAACGCAGTTAATTTCCACGCACGAGCTTCACTAGCCTTTTTCAAAGCCCGAGCTTTGATTATTGCCGCAACAGCAAATGCGATGGAGCACACAAGCAACCCTATAACTAACAGAAGCTTCAACGAAGAAGAGAGAGGACCTTTAACATGAGGTTGACGAGGGCCATTGGCAACCCCGTCTTTACAAGGACCCAAATAAGGACCACAGAGTTCAGTGTTCCCTAGGAAAGAGGTGTAGTTAAAGTAGCCGAACTGCCCGGTTCCAGGAACCAAACCAGAGAGATTGTTGTAGGAAAAATCAACAGATGTTAAACTTTGCATAGAAGCTATGGAGCCTGGAATTGAGCCAACTAAATGGTTTCTTGAAAGGTTCAGATAATTCAATATCCGCATTGCAGTTATCTGATTTGGAATCTCACCAGAGAGCTCATTGCGGCTGAGGTCAATGAAAGTCAAAAGCTTGCACCTGCTTAACTCGGGAGCAATGGGGCCCGAAAACTGATTATGGCTAAAATCAATCTTGGAGAGCTGCTGCAGCCTGCCTATCTGCGAAGGGATTTGACCCGAAAACTTGTTACCGTCGAGAAGAAGCTTCTGCATGCTGGTGAAGTTTCCGATGGTGGGTGGCAACGGCCCAGAGAGCTTGTTATTAGAGAGACTGATCTGACCGAGATTAACAGCAACGGAACCACCCTCAGGAAACTGTCCAGTGAGAAGATTGTTCTGAAGCTCTACTTGGGTGAGTTTGGGAAGCCCAAATAGACCAACAGGAATAGAACCATTAAGAAAGTTCTCACCCATTCGAATCCTATTCAGAGACTCGCACTTCCCAAGCGAATCCGGAATGGGACCGAGCAGATAATTCCCGAGAGTTATCAGAGTCTGAAGACGATTCCCGTAGCACATATCAGGAGGAAGCATTCCCGTCAACTTGTTCGAAGAAAGATCAACGAGAGTGAGTTTTCCATTTCTTCCCAGACTCTGAGGAATGCTTCCCGTGAAGTTGTTTTCCCATAGCTGCAAAACCTCCAGCGCCGGTAGCTCTCCGACAAATTCTGGAATCGCACCGTGGAGCTTGTTCCGGAAGAGGTTCAGCAAAGTGAGATTCTTGAGCTCCGCAAAGCTGGCCGGAACCTCGCCGGAGAGAACGTTGTTGGACAGATCCATCGACTNAAAGGCTGTTAGTCACGCTAGTTCAACGTATAAATCATCAATTATGTTGAATTTCAGAATATTACCTGGAGCTATGTATCCATACGAACCGGCAATTGCAGACATGCATTCAGATGTTCCAGAATCTTGCAGGAACTTAGCGAGCCCAAAGTCCGCAACATGAGCTTCAAAGTTAGAATCAAGAAGGATGTTGTTGGATTTAACATCTCGATGGACAATGAGTGGCGAACAGTCATGATGTAGATAGCACAGGCCCTTCGCGGCCTCCACAGCAATCTTATACCTTGTGTCCCAATGCAAATGACCACCTTTCTTGCCATGAAGAACCTCACCCAAACTTCCATTAGGCATATACTCATACACCAAGAGATTTGTCTCGTGGTTTGAACAGAAACCCAACAGTCTAACAATGTGTCTGTGTCGAATCCTCCCCAATGTCTGAATCTCAGCATTGAAACCATGATCATGCGAAGATCCCCTGCTCATGGCAGGTAACCTTTTCACAGCAACCTGATCCCCATTCGGCATTGCACCTTTGTACACAATGCCTGCACCTCCTTTTCCTATTATGTTGTCCTCCTTCAAGCAGTCCAGAACATCATCAGCAGTGAAGTCCAAACGCTGGAACGCAGTTAATTTCCACGCACGAGCTTCACTAGCCTTTTTCAAAGCCCGAGCTTTGATTATTGCCGCAACAGCAAATGCGATGGAGCACACAAGCAACCCTATAACTAACAGAAGCTTCAACGAAGAAGAGAGAGGACCTTTAACATGAGGTTGACGAGGGCCATTGGCAACCCCGTCTTTACAAGGACCCAAATAAGGACCACAGAGTTCAGTGTTCCCTAGGAAAGAGGTGTAGTTAAAGTAGCCGAACTGCCCGGTTCCAGGAACCAAACCAGAGAGATTGTTGTAGGAAAAATCAACAGATGTTAAACTTTGCATAGAAGCTATGGAGCCTGGAATTGAGCCAACTAAATGGTTTCTTGAAAGGTTCAGATAATTCAATATCCGCATTGCAGTTATCTGATTTGGAATCTCACCAGAGAGCTCATTGCGGCTGAGGTCAATGAAAGTCAAAAGCTTGCACCTGCTTAACTCGGGAGCAATGGGGCCCGAAAACTGATTATGGCTAAAATCAATCTTGGAGAGCTGCTGCAGCCTGCCTATCTGCGAAGGGATTTGACCCGAAAACTTGTTACCGTCGAGAAGAAGCTTCTGCATGCTGGTGAAGTTTCCGATGGTGGGTGGCAACGGCCCAGAGAGCTTGTTATTAGAGAGACTGATCTGACCGAGATTAACAGCAACGGAACCACCCTCAGGAAACTGTCCAGTGAGAAGATTGTTCTGAAGCTCTACTTGGGTGAGTTTGGGAAGCCCAAATAGACCAACAGGAATAGAACCATTAAGAAAGTTCTCACCCATTCGAATCCTATTCAGAGACTCGCACTTCCCAAGCGAATCCGGAATGGGACCGAGCAGATAATTCCCGAGAGTTATCAGAGTCTGAAGACGATTCCCGTAGCACATATCAGGAGGAAGCATTCCCGTCAACTTGTTCGAAGAAAGATCAACGAGAGTGAGTTTTCCATTTCTTCCCAGACTCTGAGGAATGCTTCCCGTGAAGTTGTTTTCCCATAGCTGCAAAACCTCCAGCGCCGGTAGCTCTCCGACAAATTCTGGAATCGCACCGTGGAGCTTGTTCCGGAAGAGGTTCAGCAAAGTGAGATTCTTGAGCTCCGCAAAGCTGGCCGGAACCTCGCCGGAGAGAACGTTGTTGGACAGATCCATCGACTTGAGACTCTTCAGGTTCCCCAGCTCAGGAGTGAGCGAGCCGGAGAGCGCATTCACCTGAAGAAAGAGCGTGTCCATATTCTGAAGCCTTCCGAGGTCAGCCGGAATATCGCCGGAGAGTCCGCAATACGCGGCATCGAAACGGACAAGCTGGGACAGGTTTCCAATTTCCGGCGGGATGCCGCCGGAGTAAGCGTTGTAGTAGCCAATGTAGAGCTCGCGAAGCGCGGTGAGGTTTCCAAGCTCCGGAGGGATGTTTCCCGTGAGCTCGTTGCCGGAGACGGCGAGGTACTGGAGGTGCTGCCAGGTGCCATACTCGGGAGGGATCTGGCCGGCGAAAAAGTTGCCGCCGAGGTGGAGGTGGCGGAGGAGGGGCATGGCGGCGACGGCGAGGGGGAGGGGACCGGTCATATTGTTGTTGTAGAGGTCAAGGACTTGGAGATTGGCGAGGCGGGCGAGGTTGGAGGGGAAGGTGGCGTTGAAGGCGTTGTTGGAGAGGTTGAGATGGCGGAGGGCGGAGAGTGCGGAGAAGGAGGAGGGGATTGGGCCGGAGAACTGGTTGTCGGCGAGGGAGAGGTAGGAGAGGAAAGGGAGGTGGGAGAGGTCATCGTAGAGTGTGCCGGAGAGGGACAAGGAGGTGAGGTTAAGGATGGTGACGTGGCGGCGGGAGTCGCACGTGACACCGAACCAGGAACAGTAGGGAGTGGTGGTGTTCCAGGAGGAGAGAGCATTGGTAGGGTCGTCGGTTATGGAAGACGCTTTAAAAGAGATAAGCGCGCGATATTCTGAGATGCGCGCAGCATGGAGTGTGTGAGAATGGAAGAGGAAGAAGAAGAGAGAACAAAGGAAGAGTCGCATTTTGTGTTGGTATGGAGAAATGGAGAAATGGAAAGGAAAACGAAAACGAAAATGAGAGGGAAGTGAGTTAAAGGGTGAGTGAGTGAGTGTACATGTTGTATTGTGTGTTTGTTTGTGTGACTGCTACTGATCACTGACCCCTTAGCAGAGTGAGTGGATGAGGACTGAGCCAATGTTCAGCCATGTTCAGCAGACCCTCCCACATCTTTATCCCCTTCCAACACTCACACATACTTACAATCTTAACCATCTTCCTCTTTCCCTTTTCTTTTTTCTTTTTTCACCCTTGCAAATCACTAGTTGCTAAGGATCTTGTTGACATAAATTTGCGCAGATGGATTAAAATTAAAAGAGATTAGATAATTTACTTCAATTGTCCACAATGAGATAGTCTTCACAATTTTCTCCCTTGATTCAACTCAGATTTCTTAAACAAGAATTACTACTTGTCATTGAGTCTATTATAGACCTAATTCAACTCAGATTTCTTAAACAAGAATTACTACTTGTCATTGAGTCTATTATAGACCTAATCATGAATGCTACTGGATCAAATTTCAAATGGTAAAAGAACTCCTTCTTATATACGTGAGTAATGTTCTCATGCATGTCCTTTATTTTTTCTAGAGCTGTCAAAATGGGTAATTCGACTTGATCTTGTCTAATTCACTATAAGTTAATTATTTAGTGAGTCAATTCAATTCGATTAATTTATTGAGTTGAAAAAATTTAAACCCAGCCTCATTCACGAAGGCTTGGTGCGTTAAATGGATTGGTTCACTGACTCATTTAATTATAAGTTATTTTTAAAATAAAAAAATTACAATTTTTTTTAATTCAATTCTAAATAAACGCCACACTAAAATGATGTTAAACTCCAAAGACAATCCAAAATAAATAAAAAAAGTATCATATAATCCGAGTACAATCCAAAAACATGTACAAAAGACGAACAAATACGTTTTCAATATTGATAATTTTTGTACCACTGGTGCATTTATAATATTAGAGTCTTGAATAAATAAATCTATAATATTTTTCTCTCTTAAAACATCTTATTCTGTATCACCTTCTACAATATAATAAAAAAAATGTTAATTAATAATATTGAAACACAAAATAATAAATAATTAAATTAAATTAGATAGGTTGGTCACGATGAGTCGAGTTCTAAGTGAACCAAGTTGAAAACTAGTTCGTATAAAAGAATTATATTTTTTTAAAATCTAATCCGACTCAATTTACAACTCATTTTTGAGAGCATTAGTTTTTTCATAGAATATTTGATTATTGGACAATTGTGTGGTATTATTATTATTACATTTAGACACTGGTAATTTGGTCTTGTATCTTTAGCTTCATGGTTATACTCCTCATTCAAAAGACTTTCTTCACAACTTCATGACAATGTATTATGTTTGATTACTTTATTATCTTCGGTACGTCGACTTTCTTGTTAGACTGGTACCATATGCATTGAGCATATAACCGATGAGAGAGACCTTGTGATGTCCAAACACCCAATAAAGAGTCAACAAATTCTTTCATAAGAGCATCTGTCATAGACTATTTAGCTCCACCATAAGTTATAACTCATTCAAGTGTTCATTTCAAACAATGAATAGTTTACTTAAGAGATACTATGTCACTGAGCTTGTAACATCTCAAAATTTATAAAAAAAAAAAATTCAATACAATATATTATTTCCACATAATATATATAGATAAAAAATAAATGAGTAAAATAAATTAAAAAATTAATTAATAGAATTAAATTATTAATTTAAGAAAATAATAAATAAGTTAAATTCAATACAAATTTGTAGGTCATCAATGATTGTAGTAAAAAAATGGTTTAATTGGTCCTTTGGTATCCACTTTTCAGGGCAATGTGTTTACTTTATACCCATTTTTTAAAAAAAACTTCAATTTCGTCCCCAGAGGGTTTAATATGCATCAATCAAGTCATTTTTTATTCAAATCATTTAAATCAATAACATTGACTTATTGTGTATGTTGACTTAAAAATTTGACACACCAATCTTTCACCTGTGCAAAAACTTAACATGTTAACTAAATTTAATGACAGTGGCTCAATTGATTCAAATTAGCACTTATAAGGACTTAACTGGGGATTCTAATAAGAAGGGGATCAAACTGGGAAAAACCCACATAAATAGGGACAACTAAAGGGTTTAAACATAATTAATTATTACTAATGATAACTGATTATCCCAGTTAAATTTAGATTTTCCTAAAAGCTTATAGAATAATCGATTATGATAGTGAAAAAATAATTTTTGAAATAGTTTATGGAATAATCAATTACCACTTATGATAATTGATTATCATTGGTAGTTATGAATAAACTCTTCAATTTTTTGATATAATTTCCAAAATAAGAGTGTATATATATATATATATATATATATATATATATATATATATATATATATAATTACGAAATAATTTTTCACTTATAAGTTTAAAGATGAGACTCCTAAAAAACTCTCTATGTTAGCAAAAATAGGACTTTGAAAAACCCAATGTGAGAAAAGTCTCATTGAGTGTGTCTTGAGTTATTGAGTTATGCTGTTTTTGTTAGAAAAAATGTTCATCATTTGTGTGTCAAATGAGGTATTGTTCATTCTTTTTGTTCTAAAGGAGTTGTTGTTCATCTTGTATATTAAAGAGAGGTGCTTTCTAGCCTAAATTTTATTTTGTGATTATAAATTGTGGTAATTTATAAGTGATTAGTTAATCTTCTTTAGAAATATTAACAACTAGATTTAGGATCTTTTGATCCAAATCAATATTAAACTACTATTTCTACAATTCTCTCTTTCCTTATACTTTTTATCTTTATACATTTTATGCAGATATAATAACAAAATAAATATAAATAAAAAGAAATTTAAAAAATAAAATGAATTGATAAAAAAGTAAAATAACTTCCGTGTATATGTTTCAGCAAAATAAACATAAATAAAAAAGAAATTAAAAATGTCAAATGACTAAAAATCTAACGTTTGAAATACTTGTCAACAAAATAAGATGAGTAATATGGTAAATTTGCTAGTATGTTGTTTTCTTATTTATAAATAAATAAATATTATTTTTTAAACAATGTTGTTTTAAAAAATAAAATTAAAATATATTTTTTTAAATTTACCTTTATTAAATGATCAATCAAGTAATTAGAAATCATAAAAGTAATTAAAAACCATAAAAGATAAAATGAAAAATGAAAAAAAAATAGAATAGAAAATAATTAATATTTTATTATAAATTATTATTTAATAATATTTAAATTATCAGATAATTAGGAATTATAAATAAATAAAATTAATAATAAAAAAATATAGAACAAAGGAGTTAATTATTTTAAATATAATTTATTCTTTAATAATAAATAAAATAAAAGTATCTAATGATGACTAAAATGTATTTATGGACACGAAGTATTTATTTATTTATTTTAAAAATTAAAAATATTTTAAAATATTTTTTAGGAATGTATATCATAGATTAAATCGATTAATAATATAATTTACATTTTATACATAATTTACATTTTATACATAATTTACATTTTATACATAATTTAAATTTTACATATTGATATAAAAATGTTAAATTTGAGAAATTAATAATTTTATTTAAGAACTAAAATAATAATTTATTAGATATTAAATGATATAATTAATGTAAGAACTAGAGATGGTAAAATAATTCACGGGTATTCGGGGATAAAATTCGGAATAGTTGGTATCCGCAAATATTTATTACACGTGGTTGCGGGTAACAAGTATTTTAATACCTGCTTATAAACGGGTCAAGAGCACTATTATACTATCCGTACTCACGGATATCCACTACTCTAAAAACATAAAAATAAGTATTTTTTTAATATTTTATTAAATTAAATTTAATTAAAATTAAAATTAGTTTATATTTTATTAGGTTAAATTTTATTAAAATTAAATTTTAATTTATATTTAATTTATATTATAATTTATAATTTTTTTGTAATTTTATTTAAATTTTATTTTAAAAATTTATAAAATATATATTTTAAAATATTTGAGGGTACCCACAAGTTTTAAAATATTCGCAAGTATTTTTTAAAAGAATATTTACGCAGGTATCAGATTGATTTTTTTTTGTGGGTTGGGTAACATATAGCCATTATTCGTGCTCGACCCGACCCGTTGTCATCCCCAATAAGGTGTTTTAAAATAATGAGACCGAATATTTTATTTTAAAATAATTCAATAATATAAATAGAATTTCTTAACTTGACTCATTACTTAAAACACAAATCATCTCTCTAAAACATTTACTCCTAGCTTCCTGTCACTTCTCTATAAGTTATCTTATTCCTCGATCTTCTATTTGACGATCAGAAAGTTCCTAGGAGATGACAACTGAGTTATCTTCATTCTCTACCGATCAGATTTTGTTCTAGAGCAAGTAAGTTTTTATCATTTTTTCTTTAATTCTCCGTTTGTGATCATGCTTAGGGAAACTCTTTCGCATGTATCAATTGTGTTCCTTTCTCGACTCTTTGATAATTTGAGGTCCTAAGGACTTATTCCGTTTCCAATTTGGTGTTTCGTAGGCATTTCTAGAGTGTCTTGCGAGTGAAGCAACGAGTGTGTGGTCCTAAAGCTTGACAATCCCTTGTGAGGTAATGGAAGCTAGTGTTATAATTTGATAATTTAGTGTTTGAGTATGAAAGGATGTTTAATAGTTTGTGAAATTGATGCATGTTGTTATACTTTGTTAAAATGGTTGTTATTAATTTTGAAGTGTTTTAAAATGTTTATTATTGATTGAATGATGTATGTATGCATTGTTGATTTGATTTAGAATTGAATATGGTTTTGAATGTTGTTGCTGAGATGTGAAACGATGTCAAATCTATTATAGTATTGAGGAGAAGTGGTTGGACTAGTTTATAAGTCATTTCTAAACATAAAAGGGAATGTTGATAGGTGAAAACTAAGTTTCTGATGTTGTTCAAGGTTATTTTAGACTAGTTGAGACCTTGAGATTGGAGAATTCTGGCATTGAAGACAATGGTCAAGTATTAATGTTGTTTTTGCATTATTTTTTGTTCATTTAAGGAGTTTTGAAGAGTGAAAACTTGAAGGAGGAAGGATGTGAGGAAACTAAAGTTTTGGGTTGTATCATCTAGTATATCATGACTTGTTCATGTTGTTAGTTGGCATAATTTGGTATTGGAGGAGGTAAAAGTGAAGTT